CTGGCTACTGCACATTTTACGTTTTTGAAAAAGACTTAAAAAACAACTTAAATATGCAGTTGTTGGCTACATACATGATATCAAACAAACTAAAAGGCTGCATGTCTCAAGCAAAAAGTCCTCGCCAGTTAATTATCTGGAAATAAACTAACAGCATTGTTCTTGTATGGCAGAGCGAGGCCAGTTAGGCAGTTAGCTACATATTGAGCTAGTCAGTATTATAAGAATGATGAGGAAAATGTGAGATGAAACTGTTTTGCTGTAACATGACCTTTTGTTTGTGTGTTGGAAAACCGTAATGCTGTCTGTTGTTGGCAGGAGAGCAGCACAGATCTGCTGTCATATGTTGTTTTACCATCACTTAACTGCACAAACTAGTGTAGTTCATTAATGATGGGTTCCTTGGTTTTGGAAGTAACACTCGTTAGCCGGACATGCTAACATTTGCAGCTGATGTTATAATCACACAGTTTAATCTTTCTTTTGCTCTTTTGGTTTTGGAAAGGCAAAAAAAAAAGACACCACCCTTAAAAGTTGAAATCAACTTTAAGCTTGTCCCAATGTCATCGGCATAATGCTGGCGTGGCCGATTACAAGCCAAGATTACTTTAAAACATGATCGCCCTATTCCGACTGTTAACCGCACGATTATTACAACGAAAGATAAAATATTTGCTCATTTGATCATTTTCCAGAATTACAAACTGCTGTAGTGTTTTGGCATGTTTGTATAGACTTATTGGATCTCGCCAGTACCTTAAACGACATGATCCGCCAACCTGCACTGTTTTAACTTAAGGTTGTAAAGCAACCTTGTTTGTTGCAAAAATGAAACATAAACATTATTAAAAAGTAACATTTTCTTTGTTAAACTATTTTTTGATCCATTTTCTGTGATTATATTTTTTTCTATTTGTGAATTAAATCTGTTTCTGTCCGTCTGTTGCCGTAGGCCCACTGAAAAGACAATCTTCATCATCTTCATGCTGGTGGTTGCATGCGTCTCTCTGCTCCTCAACCTGCTGGAGATCTACCACCTGGGCTGGAAGAAGGTCAAGCAGGGGGTCACCAATGAGTTTGCACCCGACAGTGAGTCGCTGCTGCTGCCTGGAGACGCAGAGACGATTCCTGAGCAGACCTCTGCGCCAGTGCTCGACTGTTTGCCGAGGTACGCCAGCGTGAGCGTGGTGGGGGGGGGGTCAGCAGAGGGAGGAGCCTACAGTCCAACTGAGGCCTCCCCTGCGGTGATGTCCTTGCCCTCCAGACTCAAGATGGATGGCACAGTGTTCCACCCAGATGAGTTCCTGTCGGAGGCCCCGCCCGCTTCTTTTTATCGCAACGGTGAGAACGTGAGTGTCGGGAGCCACGGGCAGCTGGCGGCAATGGAGCAGAACTGGAGCAACATGGCGCTGGAGCTCCAGAATCTGGATGGAAAAAACTCCTCTTCCTCTTCCTCCTCCTGCCCTCCTCCTCTTCCCTCCACTCCCACCTCCGCCTGTACCTCTCCTCAGGAGGAGACAAACCCACCACTGCCAAAAGGGGAGCAGCACTCCACGTTTCCTACACTTCCTCGTAATACCCCTCTGTACCCCCTCACACCGCAGGAGGCGGCGGCGGATGAGGAGAGCCCTGCACCTTGTATGGTCCCTGCTGACGACTTCACCGTGGTTACCAGGGCGGAGATGCATCAGCCTCCTGCTGCTGCGACAGACATCCGGAAGCCAAGTCGGGCCAGCAAGAGCGGCGTCCGAGCTCGCCCTGATGACCTGGCAGTGTAGCTACAACACACACACTCACACATCTACACAACCATGCATACATGCTGTGTACACATAAAAAAAACCTACATTTTTTTCCCCACATATGCACAACAGCATAAAACCACACACAAGCACGCCCTCCAGCTAAAGACAAGCCTGCCAGGAGGACGTGGAGCTGGAGTTGGCTGCTTATTTTAATCTCAGAAGAGATAGAAAGAGTTTGGCCAGATTACACTGATGGCACCATGCTGATGCCCAAAGTACGTATTAATAACTTGTAAGACATCAGCTCATAGGCGCTCTGGAGTCATTTCAGAGGACAGTGGAGAGATGGCTGTGCACACAGGAACCATTTGCCAACATTTTAACGCACAAAAGACGACATCATACACTTAAAAACACCACAGTCAAAGACATACGGTAATAGCTCAATGGATGTGGGGGAGGAAGTAAGCCAATTTAAATGTGAGAAGGAGAACTTACAATGAAAAACAGTAGTAGACCTCTATAATATGATATAATAATAATAATAATAATAATATATATTTCAGCTTTGGAGTGAGTCTTCATGCTAAGCTAAGTAGTATCGATCTTCTTTCTCTTACTTACAATTACAATTACTTCTGAATACAATCAGCATTTCTTCAACCAAAAGCTGAAGATCTCCAACATGGCTGCCAGAGGGTGTGTTACAGCACTTAAATTAAAATGTTTTAATGATTAGCTGCACGGCCAACATGGCTGCCACTTACTGTTCTGGCCATACTCTCCCTTTTCTTTGGAGAGGTTGGACAGGGAGGTACATAGGCCCATGAGATGGGGTTCACAAACATACACACTTAGACATACTTACACACACCTACAGTATATACCACACCTAGTACTATTACCTCATAGCTAGACTATAGTAATCATACGTAGCCACACAGACACAAATACCAGAAGGGGGTTGATAGGTGCTGATGATGATGATGATGATGATGCACCGAGCGATGATGATAATGCAGCGGTTCGGACTAAACTTACATAACGTCTCTGGGCAGCGTAGAGGCAGCAAATACCTGATCACTTCTTTCCGATTTTCCATCCTTTCTCTAGAGTATTTGCTGGGAGACCACCACGACGGAGAGGTTTGCACTTCCTCTGTTTCTTTATTTTTATTTTTTCTTGTGATGTGATGGCGGAGCTGAACGGTCCGTGTGTCGTGTTGAATCTGTCCGTCTGCGTGTACCGCTTTCACCGAGCCTGTAGTTTCAATGAAGAGAGGGATGCACAGACGTTAGGACGGAACAGACGACTAGAGGAGAGCAATAAAGCAGTCCCACCCTGAGACATAGTCCTTAGGCTTCACAGGCTGTGTGTGTGTGTGTGTGTGTTTGTTTAGGTACCTTAATCTTGTTTCAGTGTTTACAAAATGACATCTCTGCAGTTACATCAGGGTAAACTATATAAAGAATATATAAATATGTAAATATATAATGATTGATAGTATTGATAGGCACCACAGGATGTTATACAGAACTACCTACATTTAAAGTTAAAACAAAAAGTTAGTTTCTGGTCAAGCTGCGATTTATTGTGACTTTTACCTGGAGAATCCAAAGTGCTTTAGCGTTTTCTGACATTGGCCCCACAGGTCACTTTATGCAAAAATCCAATGTTAGGACGGTTGAGGCGACAAAAAAAATATATATACACGATCAACTAAAACTACATTTTAACGAGTTCCTTATTGAGCAATTTTAAGCTTTGCAGCTTGAACGGAGCGTAAAGATCAGTACACCTTCTTTCTGATGCTTGTGTTTGCAGTGTGCTACAGAACTGTCGAGTTCCCCCTAGCTGTTCTGTATAGGAGGACTCTAAGTTAATTTTCTAGACTAGCTGTAGATTATACAGTAGATTTTAGATTTTTTTTGACGGAAAAAAAGAAAGCAATATGATCTAAAAAGTGATAAATTTTATTTCTCTGTCAGTTCTTAACAAACATCCCACATAGGAATGTTCATTTTTTCCTGTTCTTCTTATTAATTCCTGCCAAAAAAAGAGAAAAAAGAAAATGGCTAATATAAGTTTAGTTGTTGTTGCCTTACAGCAACTTCCCAATGGCTTTAATTCAGATCAAATTATCATGTTTTATTCAACATTCAGGAATAAAAAAAATTACCCAAGTTGCAAGTCAACAAAGGAGTGTGGTTTGGGGCAAACAGTGTTATAAGTTTGTGCATGTTTGTGTTTCTCTCTGAGCAGAATATTAGTTGATTATATTTAAAATACTTGAAAAATACGAGAAAAGCTGCTGGATTATATCACATGTGCCTGAATTAGCATTCGAACACCATAACCAAAAGAACTAAATGAAAGTAAAGTCTGATTCAATATGTTTACATTTCGATATAAACAAAATGTTGTTTTTGTAGTTTGATAAAAAAAAAATCTTAACTCAAGGTCCACTTACTCACTTTTTCCGGAGCTTTCAACCACATCTCACGGTCTTCATTGTTTTTGAGTTTTAGTTTTGTCCTGGGCGCATTCTCCTGAAAAGACGACTGTTATGCTGCATGAAATGTTTTATTGCAGTTGGCTGTCGGTTCTCGATTGTCCGTTAATGTTTTAAGACCGTAAATCAGGAATAACTCAGTGTGCTGGGAATGCTGCTCATTCATGGCAACTTGGAACTTGTTTATGAGCTCAATAATCGATGAGTGCAACCAAATAAAGGAAGCTCAGAATTAGCAATGAGGCTAATTTTAGGCTAAATGTATTTAATACACATTGTCAACGTTGTTAATCATTGCACATTATCAAACCTGGCAGTGTTATGAATTATTAAATTGTTAAATAAATACTAATACACTCATTAATTTTCTTTGGTTGGGTGTATTTTTTAACATTTTGGACTGAGCTAGGCTAGCTGTTTCCGCCTGCTTTCAGCCTTTATGCTTAGGGAAGCTGGCTGTAGCTTTAAATGTAACGAACAGATGTAAAAGTGGTATCTAACTCTAAGTTAGAAACTATTCTTTTGGCAAAGCTGCGAAAGATTTTCTTTAACTCAAGCTGGCATCGTATCCTCGCGCTACATTTCGCGCTCATTAGCTGCAAACGGATAGGCTCTGTTTACCTTAAACATGAGCACATTCAATGAATGGCACTCTGCACACTGCTAGCTAGTTTCCACCTGTGCTTTCAGACAAAATGTCCGCTGTGAAAAAAAGTCTTACATTC